GGGGTGGCTCAGCCAGCTCCAGGCCAAGATGGTATCACGTGGGGGTAAGAAAGGTGAGAGGGAGGCTTTTTCAGGAAGGGCTAGAAAAGCTCCAAGGAGTGGAGCTCTGGTTGATGTCGGAGCTAGTCCCACCTGTGCCTTCTTGGCTTGATGGGACTTGGTCTCCCAGTGACCAGTATTAGGTACCTGGGTAAGGAGGATTTTGCCTGCCGCACCCCAGACAGCAGCCTGGCTCATATCATAGGAAGAGCTCACACATACTTGAAGAATGATTGGGACAGCCCTGCCTTCTGCTTTCTGCCCTGACCCACTTTGGGTCCCAGGTAGGCATCCGATATGTCCTATGGCTGGAGGTATTGCTTGGTTCCTGAATCCATTGTAGGGTCTCCTGCCCTGGCAAGCTTTCCCCTGGTGATGGCAAATCAGAGACTGCTAACCACTGGTTGGGCTATATGAGAAGGAAGTCGAAGCTTATGACACTATCCTGTCCCATCTCTTGCCACTTTAGAGATGACAACACATCACAGACAGAGAGAGGTCAGTGTTGATGGCAGGGACAGTCAGAACTCCATCCAGGGTTCTCTTGGTTGGCACTGAACGTGATTTTTTTTCTCTGTGCTACAGAATGTGAATAGGAATTTGTCTTTTTTTTTTCCCCCTCAAGTTTCAGGTGAGGCCACCTGGAGGGAAATTGTGTGTTTTTTTTTTTAAAAGTTTTTTTTTTCTTTTTTTTTTTTTTTAAATCAACCAGGTGCTGAGGTTGAAGCAAAGTCAGTTTAGTGAGAAACAGACAAAGGGTCACAGTCCTTTCACCTGGTGGCTGCTCTCTCCCCCACCAACAGTGATGGGGCCCCTGGGTGCATTGACCCCTGGGGGTCTGAGCTAGTCCCAGCATGGGACAGCTGCAGGGCTTCCCTTAAGGCATATCTCCAGAGGCTCCATCTGAGGTGTGCCTCCTAGGTTCTGTGGCGTCTGAGGGTCTAGCCAGAGCGGAGAGAATACTGACTAGGAAGGAAGTTTGGGATGGGATGGACAGAGCATCCTGGTGTCCTTTTAGTGCTTTCAGTCTCCACAGAGACACTACCTGGATTGTATATCTCTGTCTATTGGATGAGGGGGGTTGTTGGTGCGGGGGGGGGGGGGGGTTAGCCACTATGTGTAAGTTTCCCATATAACAGGACCCTAGAGAGCCACCCCCTTGACAGTTGGTCTGGAGCACCATTTGTGATGTCCCTAGCCAGGTCTGTGGATATCCCCAGTGCTCCCAGACTTTGTCTTTTTGAGATTCTTCAAAAAGCTAAACAATAGGATTAAACTGAAGGCAGGCACTGGGGGATTCTTGCTTCAGGAGGCTGGCGGGCAGCAGAGGGGAGGAGGGCATAGCCACACCAAGCTTGGCCCCCTGGGTCTAGAAATTCGTAGTTGCTCAATACATAGCACTTGCCTCCCTAGATGGCCTTGTGGTCTAGCATATTGGCTCATACAGTTAATTGAGCTGGAGACAGTCTTAATTCCCAGGTTAGAAAACAGGCTGGGCTGCTGGGTGGTGGTGGCACTCACCTTTAATCCCAGCACTTGGGAGGCAGAGGCAGGAGGATCTCTGTGCATTTGAGATCAGCTTGGTCTACAGAGCGAGTTCCATGACAGCCTCCAAAGCCACAGAGAAACCCTGTCTCCGAAAACCACCCCCCCTCCCAAAAAAAAGCTGGGCACTTGTTTAGAATCTGGGGTGGATCTGGGTCAAATAGATTTACCCCTAACCAATCCCCAAACCCCATCCTTGTCCCTTCAGGCCACATAGAGTCTCTGGGGCCCAGCTTTGGGACTCACATCTGAATCTAGGCTAGCCCTTCTCACTTGCTCTTTCTCTCCTTGGAGCTGCTCAACTTGGCCTCCAGTTGTTTAATCAGAAGGAGATTTGCAGAGATGCAGAATGGGGGCAATTGGTCCAACAGGAGGTAGACTTAGAGGTGGAGGGCCACGTTTGTGTTTGGACAATGGCATGGAACTTCATGTGCTATGGTGGGTGCTATGGAGGAGAGCTCAAGCCCTCAGGGAGAATATGAGGAAGTCTGTCTTGGCACCTCAGAATAAGAACACGCTTACAGCCCCTTTGAACCAAGAGTCTCGCTTTCCCATAGATTTAGTAGACCTGTGTTCCCGCTGCCTAACCCTGGTTTCTTTCCAGGACTGTCAGTCCAGCCAGCCCTTCCCTACCCAAGGATGTAACACTGGCTCTATGATGTCAATAAACTGTCTTAGCCTCGCCAGCACAGCTTACACCCATCCCACAGATTCACAGAATAGTCCTCTAGTGTGACCCACGTCCTTCCAGTTGCTGGCTTATATCTCAGACAGCCGTCTGCCAAACCTCTAATTGCCAGAACTCCAGCGCCAAGACACCACTGAGCACTTTGGGAGGATGGGGCAGGCAGGTTCCAGGCACTCCCTCTTTCTGCTGCTTGTTCTAGCCAGACCTCTGCTCTTCCTACCTCACTGCTGGGCTCTGATTGAATGCACACACACACACACACCCTTTCAGTAGGTAGTACAGCCCTGTGTTCCCAGCTGCTTGGGATGCACAGGCAGGAGAATTGCAATCAAGGCCAGCCTGAGCAACCTGAGACTGTCTCAGAAGAAAAGGTATAGAAAGATGGGGTTAGGGGGAGCAGACATAGTTCTGTGGTAGAGTCCTTGGCCACATGCTAGGTTCAATCTAAAAAACCAAAAGTTCCAGTCCCCACAGATGCATAGGGGATGGAGCAGCTTTGGTTGCCTGGCAACATGTGACTTCTCCTTATGACCCTTGTCCCATTTTTCCATGTGGACCCAGACAGTGATGCCCAGTAGTCTTCAGGTCCTGAGACCCTGGTCTGGAGGTTTCTGGGAAGGATGTTTGTAGGACTCCAGGAGCCTGTTGTCCACCCCCCCCAAAGGAGTGAGATGTAGGGATTGAGACAGAACTTTTGGGAAGTCTCATGAGAGATGTTTACCGTGCTCCTGATACCTTTCTAGGAAGTTGGCAATGTCCCTGCTAGGACTTCCTGGGGCACAGAAATGAGTGTGGTGCCATGGTAGTCACCCACGGTACTTACTACGGTGTGGCCATGCATGTGGGGTTTTGTGCTGTCCACCCCCCATGGATGCTCTTCCTTGGAGACTGGATCCTGGAAGTCCCGGAGCCGTTCATGGATGGGTCTTTGCCGGATGTCTCTTGATTCATCGCATGTTGGATTCTAGGGGGTCCAGGAGAGCTTGCCCAATAGGGTAAGCAGAGGGCTGGATTCCACAGAGTAGCTTCAACTCCAAGGAGTGATAGAATTAAGTAGCAAACCCAGTGTCAGCATAGAGGAGGAGGGGTCTGAGGCCTGATGAAGGAGAACCGGTGAGGCAGGGCCATTCAGGGAGAGCCGCTCACAATTCATGTGGCACTCTGCCTTCCTGCCTGGGTCCCCATGTGTACCGAGTGTGTTGGGAATAATGCAGTGTCCAAAGAACAAACATGCATCCTTTTGCAAGTGGACTCACTGAGGCTCATAGGGGTGGTGGCTTGGAGTCATAAGGCAAGAAGGTGACCTGATTCTCATGCTGGGAACTCCCAAGCATGTCTTCTACTTCTCTGAGGCTTCTTGCGAATCCCAGATTCTGTCCCCTGTGCCCTCAGAGGGACTCCCGCCCTTTGCCCTTTGAGGCCCAGGGTTACATTTCTCTCTGCTCCCAGCTCATGTTGGCTTGACTTGGCCAGGAGCCTTCGAATTCTCGTTTGTTACTGACCAAGATGTGTTTGCTCAGCCTTCTTGAGCCTTGTCACTCATGGTCTAACATCTCTGATATTAGAGGGACCTCATCGTGCAGCTCTGAGACCTGGTCTCCCTCCTGGGCCACTCTGGGACCAACAATGTGTAAAGCACAGGCTGTGTCCTCTCAATGCCCTAGGGACTCCCCAGCAACTCAGGAAGGAAGAGACACTGGTTCATTAAGCAGCTGTTTGCGGATCCTTTGTGTGTATCGTTGTTCAGTTTAAGCCCTGCTGCTTGCTGGGAGCAGGGCTTACAATGTCCCTGGTATCTTATGCACATGGATGAACACAGAGGTGGAGCTTCAGACAACTTGGGTTTTGAGGCTGTGGTAATACTAGAGTCTGCTCCACAACCTGCTATTTAACACCAGGTGGCCTTCACTCCTATTTTATTTTTCTGAATTCCTGGAGCAGGCAGGTGGGACAGGCAACAGCGGTGCCAGCCAGGCTGTCAGCTGGTGGTATGACCCTGAGCCCCACCTCTGTAGGAGGCTTTCGCTGGGAGGAAGTTTTCCCTCCTCTAATGCCCCGCAGCTGCCCGTGTGAGCAGAAGTCATTAGATTTGGGGGCAAGTGGTGGCTAGTATGTACTGGATTAGAGAGTTGTGTCTCATTGACATTTCTGGATGCCCACTTCATACCAGGAGACACCGAGCTCAACCAATCCTAGAAGAGGTTTGATTTTGCATCCAGGGGACATTTGGTAGTGTCAGCAGTCACTCGTAGTTGTCACAGCTTGAGGGGGTGGTTAGCCAAGGTCGGGGATATTTCTGGATATCGTAAGATGCTCAAGGGTCTAAATGCCATAGTGCTAAAACACGTTGGTGGGGGGGGGGTCAGTTTTTCTCCGGATCCAGGAGAGTCAGGCCCTGTAGGGACAGACAGATGTGCCACTTAGCTGCAGAGGGGGCCCGAGGGCCACACACAAGCCTTGAGACTGAGGTCCTGGGAGCAGTTACGGCTTATTTATCCCAGACCCATCACAGGGTGAATTCTCAACACTGCAGTTGCTTTTGTCTTTACTAATGTCCTTCAGAAAAAACAAAGACTACATCACGGAACCTTCTAAGCCGCCCATGGCATTCAGCTGCTGGCTAAGGGCATTTTTGGAGGTGCAACCCAGAATGGGTTGGGTTGGGAAGGAAGCCAAGGGCCCACAGATTGCCATACCTGTACGTAGCCTTGGCTATATCCAAGTTTGCTGTTTTGGCTTTTCAATCTGTCTCGACACTAAATGTCCTAAAAAGACTATCTTTGTACAGAAGCTTATGGAAAAGAAAATAAACATGGAAGTTTCTTTTGCTGGGCTGCCAAAGCCATTTAGGGACCGGGCCCACCATTGGTCCTGTCAGGAGAGTGAGTGTAGGTCAGTGCTCTAGGCCCCAGCAGCTGATGAATATATGAAACAGAGGTAGCCTATTTGTTGAAGCCCAGGTGTCTGGAGTCCTGGTTACTGCCCAGGCTTGGTTACCAAGAAGCAGTGACCTGGATAGAACAGGTGTTTTCATACTCAGAGCATTCTGGCCCCTAGCATGTCCCAGCTGGGACATGTGGTCTCTCCCCACCAGTTTCTGAGTCTTCACCGAGATGAGGATGCCTCAGCCTCTGCCTGGTTAGCATCATGGGTCAGGTAGGGCTGTCCTGGGCGTTGTAGGATCTTTAGCGGTGTCCCTGGCCTCTACCCAGTAGCACCCCGTCCATCAAAGGGTCTTGAAATACTGTTGGAGACACATCACACCTAGCGGAGATTATACTCAGTGTCCTTCACCCTTGGACTCCCATCAGGCCTTGAGGTGGTCGAAGGCCTGTCAGAAGAGGGCGTCTCTAAGGCTCCAAAGAGCAGATTGGCAAGTGCTTGAGGTGTCAGGAGACTGGCATCTTTTAGCCCTTCTCATCCTATGGGGAAAGGATAAAGGGTGTGTAAGGTGGGTGGGTCAGGAAGTTCAGTGGGGGAGCCAGAGGCTGCCCTTGATCTCTCCTAGTTTCTGAAGAAGGGCAGAGCTGGTGGAGGCTGGCAAATATGTTCTAGAAGCTGAGGAGGGCTGACCGAACGGAGCTAGAAGACAGTGTGTGACGGATGAGTCTGTGACCTCAGGAAGTTCGCAGGGCTAGTGACCAACGGAGGGCAATGGGTGGGGCTCACAGCGAGGGCCCAAGAGGGCTTGTCCAGAACGCACCACACCGTGTGAGAAAGTTGAAGGCCTCAGCTTCACCCTGAGCTCTGTGTCATGTTCAGGATCCCTGTGAACTGTGAAACCCTCCACTCTCAGCATGGGGAGGTGGTATTGCCAGAGCCCAGGGCTTTTGGAAGGTCTCTCTAGACTGTGTAGGCGAGGTGTCCCACGGCTAAGGTCTCGGGACTATGAACGTGCTGAATTAGCAAGACTCTCAAACCGTAGCTTTTCCTGCCCTCTGCCTCGGACGGGGCTGGCAGAGGCCCAGGAATGTTCGCAGATATAAAACTGACTTTGTTTTTGAAATGTTCTGGATCCCAGACCCCAAAGGCTGCATAAAGACATTCTTGTGAGGTGGCTATCTACTGGGGAGAGTCACGTTGGGGGCCCGGAGCAGCACACCCCGTCCACCCACGGCATGCCATGTTTTGGCTCGGGTCTGTATTAGAGCGGCCTGCTCCTGCAGGCTGGCCTGTAGATGAGGGGTCACAGGATTCCTGTGGGCTTGGGGCAGCTGGTTCTCAGGAATTTTTGAAACTTTAGCCCTTTTTGCTGCAGTATCTACAGGGCCTTGAGCAGCTGGGGTTCTGACCCACACTCTGCCTGTAGGTAGTTAGAAGGCCATATCCTGGGCCTGTCTCTTGGCTTTCTCCTCCACCGCAGGGAGGCCTCTGTGTACACTTTGTTTCTGTTTCCCATCATCTCTTGAGTCTCATCCACGGCTGCTCTGTGGGTATTTACTTTTCCTGACTTAACTGTGGCTCTACAAGTATGTGTGTTTATCTCCCAGGTCTGTGGGAATCACTGCTGCCCTCTCCTCTCCACAGGAGCCCATTAGGCCAGAATTCCCAGCTCCTCCCATCTCTGCACCTGTCTGTTTCTGTAGCCTTTATTTCTTGATTTCTTGGCCCGTGGGAGTATATGTGTCCCAGTGCCAGCCAAGGAGACACCTGTTGCCACTCCTGCTTGCCCTTTTTGGTCTGGCTCAGGAAGGGTCATTCATGTTAGGCTCCTTTTTCCAAATCCTACTGAGTGCTCACAGCCTGTCAGACCCTGGGTTTGTCCCCGTGTCCTGTTCTTCCTCTGTGGTCAGGCAACCTGGAGTCCTGGCCAGAGGTGTATATAGCGCCCGGACATGGTGACACCCAGGGGACTTTTGGTCTCCTGATTGTTGCTCTGAGGATGTCTGGCTTTGGTGTCAGTAGAGGGGTCTCCTTCTAGAATGAATGAAGAAGTGTTTGGGTGAGCTTGGTGGATCTGGGTTAGATGTGGCTTTTGGTTCTCCACCTGCTTTGGTGTAGCTGTGACTGTCAACCTGCTTCCTCTTTCAGAAATCTACTCCCCTTGTAGAGGGCTTCCTTGTAGCCCACAGCACAGGCATGGTTGTGGGTGGGAGGAGCTGGGGGGACAGTGGGGAGGACCGGCGTGGCTTTTCTATGTGTTCCATTCATGTATTAGCCTCTTTCACCAGGAAATGCTGACCTCCTGACCTTTTTCCCCTGGTAGGTCTGTGATACCAGGGACATGTCCCGAGAGCTACACGACGTGGACCTCGCCGAGGTGAAGCCTCTGGTGGAGAAAGGGGAGGTGAGTCCAGCACGTGCTCATAGTGGACGGACGGACACACACACACACACAGATGCATGGCATGTACACTCCTGGCTGAATACATTTGTACATAAACTTGCACACGTGTGAACAAGAGCATAGCATATAAGCAAATATATAGAACACACACACACACACACACACACACGTGTGTGTGTGTGTGTAGGTATGTGGCATGCGCACTCGTGGTTATGAATACATTTGTACATGCACACATGTGAACAAGAGCACAGCATATAAGCAAATGTATAGAATACGCACGCATGCACGCACCGCACAGGCATTGATCCTCTTTGTTTATCTGTGTTAAGTGATTCTTGATGTTTTTGTCTATTGCGCAGTCACAGCCCCTGCAGCAAGATATCTGTTATTGTTGGTTTACAGTTTTCCAGCCTCTGTGGTCCCCTGCACCCTGCTTTGTTTCCCTGGCCTCTTGGCCATCTTCTGTTCTGAAGGCTCGTGGCTCCACATTCAGACTCTAAAAATTGGGCAGAAAATAATCCAGTAGCAATCTTTGACCAATGCTGACTGGACCAGCCAGGCTCCAGGTCCTTCCTGAACCACACTGCCCTGGCTTCAGTGGAGTCAAGACCTTCTCCTACCTTCCTGTCACCTAAGGCTGCTGTTTGTGCTGAAATTCATTTTGTGTAGATTGAGAAAAGGCTTCGAGATTTCCATTATCCTCTTCTCCCCACAAAAGACTGGATTTAAATACAGAACGCAGACACTGGCAGCCACGAGGAAACTGCAGAGGTGATGTGGTTTCAGGAGTACAGCACACGGGTGTGCTGTCACCCGGACTTGTTCCCTGCTTCTTCCTCCAGATCTTTTGGCCAGCTGTCCTCAGAAAACAATCTAGCATATGGGCCAGTTTTCTATGGGGCTGCTGTTCCCTGAGATGAAACAGTCTCTCTTTGCAAGTTCTCAGGGAAGCCCTAACCAAACAGGGTTTAGATTCAGGCAAACCAGAGGACCGTTTTCTCTAACTGCAGAAACTAACCATGACTGTCATCTCTCCACAGACCATCACTGGCCTCCTGCAAGAGTTCGATGTTCAGGCAAGTAGAGGGCGGGGCCTCCTTTTTTATCCACCTGTCCACCTCTCCCCTCCTTTCTTCTTCCCATCAGTGTGAGTGGATTGCTGTCTAGATTTGGTATCAGCAGAGAGAAGGCAATTGGGCTCAGCCTATCCCCACACTTTGTAGCTAGCCTGAGTTCCAGACAGGGAGGCAGGAACTGACCAGCCCCCCCCCGGAGGGCAGAGAGGGATGTGGCCCTGGAGAACTGGCATGCGTGTGGGAAGTTACAGAAGCCCACTGGGACCCTGTGAGAGGGGGATGTACTAATCTTGACTGTGTTAGGAAATCTGGAACAGGGGTCCTTTGGCCAAGGTTGGAGTATGTAGCCTACTCAGAGCCAGCTGGAGGCCAGTCAGGGCGTGTTTCCAGCTTTGTAAGATCATTTGTAGAGAGTGGAGAAACCCTGGTCTGTCCAGTGCCCGGTGCCATCATCCCCACTCATGAATACCATTGAGGGTGGGATAGGCACTTGCAGGGTAATCTGCAGGCAGTCTCACGGAGGCTTCCACCAGTTTTCACCCACACATCTTGCCTTCTTCCCAATCCTGCAGAGGAGCCATCATAACATATTCCAGGGTCTCCTGCTGTGATGCCCACTCATCCTACACAGAGACTTGACTCCAGGAGGAGAGGAAAAATTAGAACAAGGGTTAGAAGCTTGCTTAGTTACATCACTGGTCCTCATAAATTGTGTGAAGCTATGAAGGAGGCCTCTGGGCTTCAGGGACTCCCAGTGTGGGTCTGGGGCCACGGCTTCTGTTTGTTTTCCTGGAAGGACAACCTATCCTACGTAGGTGGCAATAGGAATGGGGTGTTAAGCTATTGCTGTATATGAGCCTTGGAGTCCAGTAAGAAAGTTAGCACCTTCACAGTGCAGAGATATCCCTCCAAACCCCAATAATGCTGTAAAGTGGGGGACGTGTCTGTTTCCAAAGCAGAGATAGGTGGTCTAGCCCACACTTGTGCAGCCAGCGGGAGACCCTCTGGGGTTTAATCATAAAGCATATGCTCATCCTGGCCCCTGAGGGAGCCCTGAACCGAGGACAGTGATCATCTGAAGACTATACAGAGGCTTCCATTGGAGGGTGATGCTCATGCATCATGAAGCCTCACAAGCCTGCACTCTTGGCACAGTGAGGATACCCGGAAGATCAGGTTATGGTTTCCACCCCAGGGGCTCCTGTTTGGAAGCAGCATAGCCTTCTTTCTCCCACCGGAGTCTCCTGGACACAGCCCCAGTTCCCAGTGTGTGGCTGTCCCAGCCTTTGTCTGTAGTTGATAAATTTCCAGTATGGCTGGAGTCTCTACATTCTATGGGGAAATGGAGCCACCCCAACAAAGGCTCAGACCTCAGCATCCTGAAGAAGCATACCTTCTTAAGAGTCTGCAATGCTGTTAGTGCCAAACTGTGTGCCTTTGGCAAGTTACCTCACCTTCCTAAA